TTCAACCGTCCCACCATCAGCGTCAACGGACAAGTGGCTCTGCCTGTCATTACGGCCAAATGTTGAGTGACAGGCTGCTGCTCAACGTCCACAACGAGCTTGGCAACGCGAGCACGAGTCTGCACTTTCACGGCTTCTTCCAGAATGGCACCAACTACATGGACGGCGCCGTCGGCGTGACCCAGTGTGCCATTCCCACCGGATCCTCCTTCACCTATGACATCAAGGTATGGATTGCCTGCCCCCTTTTCTTCTTCTGTATCAAGGCTGCTGCGTCGTGCTGACCTGCCCTGTCAGTTTGACCAGCCTGGCACCTACTGGTACCACGCCCACAACGATGGCCAGTACCCCGAAGGCCTTCGCGGCCCTGTCGTCATCCATGACCCCAAGGGCCCCTACGAGGGCAAGTATGACGAAGAGCTCGTCATCTCCTTGTCTGACTGGTACCACCGGCCCGTCCGCTCTCTCATTCATGAGCTCATCAGCGTCGAGAACCCCACCGGCGCTGAGCCCGTTCCCCAGGCTGCTCTGTTGAACGACACGCAAAACCTGCACGTCGCTGTCAAGCCGTCGACGACCTATCTGCTACGTCTCGTCAACATTGGCGCCTTTGCTGCGCACTACTTCTGGATCGAGGGCCACGAGATGCGCATCGTCGAGGTCGACGGCGTGTGGACCGACGAGGCCGTCGCCGAGAGGCTGTACATCACGCCGGCCCAGCGCTACAGTGTCCTGCTGACGACCAAGGCGGATGCCAAGGCAAACTTTGCCATTGTCAGCGCCATGGACGAGGAGCTGTTCGACATCATCCCCGAGGACCAAAATTCCAACGTCACCGGCTGGTTGATCTACGATGACCAAAAGGCTCTGCCCAAGCCCACGCCTGTGGATGAGCTTGACTTCTTCGACGATTTTGCTCTGGTCCCTGTTGATCGTGAGCCGCTCCTCGAAACCCCCGATGTCTCCATCAGCTTTGACGTCAAGATGGACAACCTCCGTGACGGCGCCAACTAGTAAGCATTCATCCAAGACTACTCTTCTCTTGGAGCCGTTCTCCCCCAGAAGCCGACGGACCCAGACTAACACAAATCAGCGCCTTCTTCAACGACCTCACCTACGTCGCCCCCAAGGTCCCCTCGCTCTACTCGGCCCTCACCGTCGGCGGCGCCAACGCCACGGACGCCCGGGTCTACGGCACCCACACCATCTCCCATGTGCTCCGCCACCACGACGTCGTCGAGCTCGTCCTCAACAACGGCGACGACGGGAAGCACCCCTTCCATCTGCACGGCCACAACTTCCAAGTCGTCCACCGCTCGGGCCCCGATGCCGGCGTCTACATCGACGACGAATCCCACGTGCCGCCCAAGGTCCCCATGCGTAGGGACACGGTCTACGCTGAGCCCAACGGCAACTTTGTCATCCGCTTCCGCGCCGACAACCCCGGCGTCTGGCTCTTCCACTGTCACATCGAGTGGCACATGGACCAGGGCCTCGTCGCCACCATTGTCGAGGCCCCGCTGGCCCTGCAGGCCCAGGAGATCCCGGCCGCCCACCTCGACGCGTGCCGCAAGGGGGGCGTCCCCACGGCTGGTAATGCCGCTGGCAACACGCGGGACGTGTTTGATCTGCGCGGCGAGAACAAGCCCGTGCCGAGGCTGCCAGAGGGCTTCACGGCCAAGGGGTATATTGCGCTCATCGCGAGCTGCGTGTCGGCGTTCATTGGTCTGGCTTCCATTGCGTGGTATGGCACCATTGGCATGGAGGAGAAGAAGGGCAAGGCTGTCGATGATGATGATGAGTGAGCATGTGCGTCACGCCCATGGACGATCTTCCCAGTATCAGGGACGATGCTGAAGACATTGGGGCATATTTATGAAGTACGCTGAGAACAACCCACACCATTGAGCGTGCAGAGGGAACCGAGTTTCTTTGGACCATGTTCAAGGTATCTGACCAGCTGATGAGACGAACATGGAGCTCCAAGTGCTGAGGCACCACAATGCTGAGCTTATACGGCAACAGAATATGGCTGATGAGTTGCGCCGCAGTAAATACATAGGGACGCTGGTGGGACAGCACGAGGTGTGCCATGAGCACGCATAGATAGTCATAACAGAC